GTGACTAGTGCACTACCATTCCCAGTTGCTAACCAGTATAATTCTGTTTTCACTAACTAAGATGCTCGTCCCATGCGATCACATTTCGCTCGGTAATCCTTTTAGCTAATCCGATAATTTTGACCGCATGATTTGTGTAATCATACCATTTGACTATTTGGAAACCATATATTCGATTATACAGTGGTCGAATAATTGAAAGTTGCAATATTTGATTATCCCAGTTTAAGTAAACTGATGAGACTTCAATAATATTTGTTCGTCGAATACCTGCAAGATTATTGAATATCTAGTATGTAATAATTTCTGAGTCTTCTACACGCTCGCATCCTCATAATACATTATGTTCAAATACTTGGCACTCCAGTGGTTGCTGATAACGCATTTACTCTAGCAACTTTGAGCACTCTGATAGTACTTTGACTAGAAAGAGTGTGTTGTGTTTGTGTAAACTCATTAAACCAAAAAACGATTAGCCGATTATTTATATGTTCCTCATATCTGCACTGAACAGAAATAAGGCGGCTATTGTATGCAGGAGGCAAGAAATCTGATGTATTTAACGGAACTTTGTAAATTATGCGTTATGAAGAGTGTTACAGAGGAGCTAAAACTTTAGTTTTACGCATACTTTCAAAAATGAACTTTGAGTTGTGCTATTCTATTTGCGAGACATAAGTCGCCGTAGACTTATCAACCCATCAATGATAAAAATGCCTTCCAAATTGGTTTAAAATGCCAAAGAAAAGTAAAGCATGTTTTAGATAAAGCGCCGTTTTGCGACATTTTGCGTAGGGAGATGTATATGTACTTTTGAAAACCTAATTGAAACTTTAGCAAAAGTGTGCATGGTTCTCTCCAAATTTGACCAAAAATCAAAGTTGGCAAAGAAGGTGGCCTAGATAGTAAATAGTTGTAACGTACCAACTAGCAACTATTTGTGGTTTTCTGCTATTCTTTAAAAATCAGTTTCATGTGCTGTCATGATGAGCGAATGTGCATATACCTTTCTCTAATCTACATTAACATCTCGATCCTTCAGTAAGACTTCGCATGCATAACATCTGCTCTACTCATCACACACAAAGCTCAGTAAAGTTGATCAATTCCTTGCATCCTTGTGTGCAACATTCAATATGAAATCACAGCTGCAGTTTACCTTATAGAGCTGCCGTTTACGCTCTGACTGACAATCGATTTTGATTAGGAATTTCACGTCTGTTGACAATCTCAGTATGTCTAGACGAGTACAACAACATGGAATGTATGTGAAAAGAACTATATCAATGTGCGCTGACCATAATAGGTTTAAAAACCGCT